CGTGAAGAAAGATGCTTTAGGAAGTGGATTTAGGAGGACTTCTAGGGTAGCAGTGGAGGTCATTCTATTTGCTCCAATAAACCGGCACTCTTGCCTTTGGGAAGTACTAGGGATTTTTACCACCATCAGCAGTATGGCCTACCTCCCCCATACCACCGATCTATAGGTTATCATGGGTCTAACAACCGCTGTATATAACCATAGCGCGTATCCCCAGTCTTATACTTCTTTATAGTTAGTTCCTTATTTCAAGAAAGGCTTCGGTCAAAGATTTCACCAAAGATATTTCACTTCTTTAGAGTAAGGAACTACGGCTCCATTTGGCACAAATGGTATCAAGCTCTCTTGATACTCTTGATATTGTTTTATTTTTAAGGGAAACCACGATGGTTTTATTGGGGTTTATTGATCGTTTTTCTCTTTGACACCATTTGTGTGTTATGTTAAATGCGTATTGCACCCACTCTGTGATACCTATGTTCATCCATTTAAGACTACCGTCAGTTCTTCTGCATATTAATCTGGGACGAAGTAATGACATTGTTAAAAACCCCTTCCTCGCCCATAAACAGCGTCAAGGTAATTAAATAATCTAGGGCTTGGTCTGTAAAATTCCCTATTTTCAGTTTTCAATGCTTCGTCCCTAATATAGTTAATCAGTTTCTCCAATGATTTCTGCATAAACGTCGAAAAACTTACTTCTGTATGAATTTAGGGTTTGATATTTTGCCTTGCCTAAGTTTTGGCAACCAGACCAACCTAACCATCCTCCATGCTGAGGGTATTAAGAGGCTAAAGAGGTCCCGAAGATTCTGAGATGGCATTAGCAGTTCTTGCCCTTTATGAAGTAATATAGTATAGGGTACATTATATATACTTTTTCTACTTTTTTCAATCTCTCTCTCTCTCTCTCTCTCTCTCTCTCTCTCTCTCTGTGTGTGTGTGTGTTTGTGAGTGGGTGCTAATAAACCATAGCCTTTGCTAATTGCAAATTTGGCATGCTATCAATAAATGTAATGGAGGCGAGTTTACTTGCCATTAGATGGACCCTTGTTGGCTTTATAATGACCAATGCTTAATCTGGCTAGAACCACTTTTCTTATTTCCTTCCTGATTGATTAAGGTCATTTTAAAATACTGTTTTTATTTTCACGTAGCTTATTAATTTCTACAGTTTTAACAAAACAAAAATGTTTACTTTCTAGTCAATTTTAATTAACCTCCTAATTGCCTGGGAAGGAAAGTAATGTTCAAAACGAGAGTACCCTGTTCGAGGGTGGTCCCTAACCCATGAGGCCCGATACATTTTAATCAGGCCGGAATGTCTCCGTATGAGTAAGAGCTGTGTACTCGAATAGCCGTTAACCGGGCAGGAGGAAGCTCCGGGAGGATAAAGCAAGTAGCTCAGGTAGTTAAAAACTCCTGCCCTCGGGAGACGATTGCCCCCGGCTGATTTAGAACAGTACGGCTATTAGAGCCGGACTTTACAGCTCAATACTGCCCACACAACGACCTATTAACTGTGTACGATGTACTCCGACCGCCTTGTGAGCCGGGCCGATGGAATGTCAAAGAACGCTCCTTTTGTTTTTGATTTTTTTTCTCACAAGGCAATAACGCGCATGAATTTTGTATGAGAGGCTATTTTAATAATTTCAAGATCCTTTGCCGTTAGCCGATGGCAAAAATACTATTTTCACCTGAAACCGGGCGTCAGAATCAATAAATCCTTCAATTATTAGTCTTATAATGAAACCAACTGGGAGTTGGATGATTTTTTACAAAGATATGATAATAAAATGAAATTAGACACATGCTACTTGTATTTATCTAGTGTTCTTAATAAAACAAAATTATTGCGCGTGTGTTTGTGTGCAAAGCTAGGAAATAACCTAAGCCCGGCTCTAAGAGATAACAGAAGGCTGTAATTCATAGATAATCTCCACTTTAGTCGGCGTTAGACGAACTGATACCTAAAATTTCCACGTCGTTATTTCGAAACGATAAAAGATTAATAGTATTAGACGTAGTATAGAAAATTAAATTTTATTTTATAAAGAACTACAATAACATTTAGTTTGGAAATGAGGTCGCCGATTGGGGGTAGCGACCGTCTTGTTTTCCGAATCTTTTTGTTTAACTCCCCTACTCGATAGATTTTATTTATTTATTTTTTTAGATTCTTTTTATTTTCTTGTTTAGTGTCAAACTATAAAATTGAACTGCATTTCAGCATGATTTCAAAGTCTTTATTTTGCTCAAAGGGAGTCCAAACAGTTGTCAGTCAATAATAATAGTTCATTGCACTATAAAAATACAATAAAAATATTAGTTTACAAATAAATATATAAACTTAAATCGGCATGGTAAGTGGGGGTTTGATTCCCGATAAATGTATGAACATAAAATACAGATTTTGGATGAAAAAACATGTATAAATAAGAAGTATCATCAGTTTAAAAAAAACATGCCAAAAGAAAAGAAATAAACTGGAAAAACGTAAATAAGGAAATTTAATGGCGAAGAAACGTAATCAAAATCGTCATTTAATAATTTGCTGTATGTTCAGACTGCTTTGACATAAGTTAGTAACTACTTCTGGCCTATTTAGCAGATTTATAAATCTATCTAGCGAAAATAATCCTTCGCGAAATACTGATAAGTGAAATGAAGGGGGTGCCCCTTACCCTGCAACAAATTGGAATGTGTCTTCCTTCACCCAGTAATTGCATAGCATACAGTCCTCCTGACTGAGAAGGTCATTAAGATTTAAAATAATTGTCCGTTACAATAATTTACCTTATTATCTCGCTACAAAATGAAAAGGAGTCGTTTCAATATGACGAAAAGTGATCCGAAAAGTGAAAACATACAAAGGGCATCGTCCAATCGCTTTGCTGTCCAAGTTACGCCATAAAAACGGAATATTTCGAAGTTTAGTTGGGAAGGTAGTTTTGGACAGAGAATAAATGCAGCGTGGTGCATTTTTGATGAACGATAGGAAAAACAATGCACCACCTGCAAAAATCAACTATCAAATACATGGCCATAGTTGTAGTGTATGTCAAATCGTCTGTTGTACGGAGACTCAGAGATGTGCAAAAGAGCCCTTAATGTAAATAAAGAAATGTTTATTCGTCGCAACGAGTTTTCTTTTCTCCGCCAACTATCTAAATAAAATTTCTCAGGTGTACTGGCTTGTATCATCCCGACATGTTTGTTTACTATAATTTTTTAATAAAACTGATTTGATAGTAAACGTAGAATGAAAACGTAAATTAAGGCTTAAGGGTAACTCTTTGAACACATCATTTGACAAGTTCTTTCGTAATTGGATATTTTTTTACAATTTTTTGTTTGCGTGAATTCATTTAGCGACGCATGAACATTGCAAAATCGCTCAGGAACAAGGAAGACCACATAGGTTGTTGCGTTTCACATTGAATACGAATAGAGGGGGGTACGTAAGGGTTCATTTTATATTTGGTCACTGGAGATGAGAAGAGGGGTCCTTTACAAAATTGTTAAAAGCCGTAGAATTGCCTCCTCATAAGGTCGTGCTGTCTGGTAATTTAATATGAACTGCTACCTCCCAATCAAACCCTAAAGGTAGAAGTATAGTGTGCGCAGCTATAGCGCCTTGCGTCAGAGTTGAAGGAGAAACATCCAGCCCTGGTTGAACAGAAGCAACGTCAGAGGTTTCACCACGTCAATGCCAGGCCACACAGCTGCCCTAAGAATAAATTGGTTGAGTTCACCAAATGTCCCACCCTCCATGCTCACGAGACCGCTCTCTTCAGATTTTTGCTTGCTCTCTCAGGTTGTTCTAACAACAACTTAAAAGGTAGGGTATTAAAATGCAAATTGGACTAACAGATTTTTTCGTCTAAGTTATCGGATTGTTACAAAAAGGAGATATTTCTGCTATCAAAACGTTGCCAGCACGTTATAGAAATCGAAGGAATTTTTCAATTTAAAAATAAAATACATTAAAATTTTGAGAATTTTACTTTTTTCTGAAACTGAAAAAAGTTATACACCCAACCGAATGTAGTGATAGATTGTCTTTTTGCGTTCCCTTTTGTTTATTTATTAGCGTGAATGTGCAGTGTGAGAGGGCCGATGGTGGAATATTGATTACTCCATGGATCCTCCATAGATGAGTTATATATATACGTTTAAAGGGTGATGGAGGAATATCAAATACTCCACCACCCTTTACACATACTATCTATATCCAATTAATCTAACTGAGGGGGTTTATGGGATACTCAACATTCCGGCATCGACCCCTACACACACAACACGTTAACACTAATAAATACATTTACTCTGAATATATACAAGAAAAAAAATTTAAAAAAGACGATACATCTATCAAGTAGTATATAAAATAAGATAGCCCTGTTTCCTTCAATCGGACCAGGGGCTCTGCAAAATATTAAAAATAACTGATTTTTAAAGGTTTGAACAAACAATCCACCAAATGATATAAAAAAGTAGTCGTCAACCAGTTGCAATTTGTTTAAATTAAAATTATTTCAGTTAATAATATGCAAGTATAATATAAAAATAAAAATTATATATTATTATACGTAACAACTTAATAACATATTAAATGTTGATGTTACTTGAAAAAAAGAGTGATTTTTGGATTAAATGATTAATGGCGCTTTGAAAAAAATAGATAACAGTCGTTGTAAATTAATACAAAAATATTTTAAACGTTTAAACAAACACGGAGCATGTTTGGATATCTCATACTTCCGCGCCTCATATTTACATTTAGTAGTCATCACATGTTTTTCATTATTAGCAACCGGTATTTTTATAGCACAGGTAGACCATGCCGATAATCTCTTTGACAAGTACTTTTTTTTGATTATCTGAATGGAAGATTTACTCATCCCATTTCAGTATAATCCCACATTGTAACCACTTATTAAAAAAACGTTTAAAACCCATAAATATTTTACTTGACAAATAATAATTTTAACATAATACTTACCTGGTCTCCGGGCTACCGTGATCACAACGCGGATTAGCCCGGATGAAGCCTTCCCAATGCATTCGGCTTGGCTGATCTCTGCGAATATCCCAAATGCGATTATTTCGAGCGCGTAATTTTCCCTAGTCGGGACTGCGTACGCGGATCCCGATTCAAAAATGGGCCATCCGTGTATATGTCCGGCATGCAGATAAAGTTTGCTCGTTATATTCCACCTAATTGAACGATGCAATTCCCTGTTTTCATATAAAGAACGCTTATGAATTCAACCCGATGTTTGAATCGTTCTTGAGCATGGCAGTATTTGGGCCCCCCCTGTTTCGATTATTGGATGGAGCAGGATGGTTTTGTTGTATGTAGTAATGATAGTTTTGTGTTCCTAGCGTGTGCTGAGAGTGAATGTACTTATTAGATAGAATGTCTAGTATAAGATAAACGATGGCGTAATATTGAGCACCTCCTATTCACCCTCAATTAGGTTAGTTATATAATAGGTGTAAATGGTGGTGGAAGAATATCGAGTTCACCACTACCCTAACTGAGTAAATGGCATGTAAATAGGAAAGAATGTATGTAAGAGTGAGTGAGAGTGTAAATGGGTTTGTATTTAGGAACTGATTGCATTGGGTGCTGATAGCTACTATTGAGTTATGATAGCACCTGGAGCCCTAGTGGACAGTTAAGACAGAGGTCTGATTCCGGCCAACACCAGAGATGGGTATTTCTCCAGGCTGCCGGTTGGTAGTTCAATGCAAAGTCAAAAGTCCACTATCGGTGGACTACAAGAAGGGTTAGGTTCAACTTTGACAACTTTACCCACATGTGTGTATATACATGCATGTGCAGATTTTGAGCTTATATACAAATCAGTAATAAATTTTGGCCTATACTAAAAATAACGGCCAATAATAGTGGCCCAGAGTTCATGGAACGGAATCTGCCTGCGAAATCTCCTCTCCTTGGATATTTATATTGGCAGAATTTTTAATTGAATGCACTACATTGTAGTATCATTGGAGTACTACCAATGATTAAGTTCTAACTCTTGTTTTTAAGTGCATGTATATTTCCTGTCTCATAGACTTGACAATTGATCAACTTTTACTTATTTATTATTCTAAATTTCCTTTTTTATTTCTTTTACAAATGGTTAGACCTTGTCGTAGATGTTAACATTTATTGAGCTAAATTGTTTATAATGAAACATAAGCTATATTAGATGCTTTAGTTCATTCAATAGCCATTCCATTTTGACTTTAGTTTTTTGGCCGTTTTTTTTAAAGCTATTTTAATATTTTATTTAAGTTTGTCAAATAAAATATTAATTGATTTTTTAACCAGGAACTGGAGTACCACTGCAGCTGTACAGCTTATTGTACTTTATCCTTGGCTCCATTTTTGGGGGCTCACAACACCAGTGCGAATTTGCCGGTGTTCTTCCATCGAAGAAACTCATTTTTGAAGAGGGTTGGGACCAAATTCAGAGTCACTGAGATCTGATCCCGCTCCTTCCATTGATGGGTGCCGTGTCAATTTCTTTCAATAGCGGCCACCGAGCCCCTTAGGCGTCAGAAAAAGTCCAGAGGCGACGGTTGGATCGAACCCACGACCGCGGGATCTACTAGCTGAGAGTCTGACGCCTTAACCACTCGGCTACCGCGGCCCCCCGGACATTCAATTACTATTGTATGAGCTCCATGGTTCTCCGCAATACTCGGAAGCTGGTGAGTCCGTCACATGGACTCTGTTTATGTGATAACCACAGATGGCATGGTTCGAGCGGAGTCGATTGATATCGTCTTGCCCAGAGCTCTGCTAGTTGCCGCTCCTTCAATGGAAATGAGGCTGTATTTGTTTCTAAAATCATTTTTTCTGATTCACTGTACTGCATTTCCAAGCTTGCCTTCCTTGCAGACCGTTTATATACTCTGCGCACGGAACCCTGAACAATTTGACCCCCATCATCGCTAATCGCTGTTTTTGTTTTACCCCGCCAATCTATTCACTTTATCCTTTTATTCCGGCATGGACCTGAACCCACAGTAGTTTCACCTTTTTTTCTTTTTTTTAAAATAAAGTGCATCGATGTAATTTCATCGTTGATGTAGTTGTCTGAGGCATGGTATCTGCGATGTTTAAATTTGGCCAGCGAGCTAAGAGAATCAAAGATAATCAAAATTTTCTTTTGTTTTAAGGAGTCTACATAAATAATTGTCTTCGATATTGAAAATAATTCAGCTCAATAATACTGTTTTCGTATGGCAATTTAATAAGATATTCATATTTGTATTTGGAGTAATACAACGCGCAACCTTCCATTTTTGTGCGAGTGATACCCATGCCAACTATTACCAACTTCTTTCTGAAAAACAGTATTAGCAGAATATGAGTCCATGTTTTGGAAGTCTGAGAGATAATATATCTCAATGTCTTTACAAAGCTTTGATACTCATTTCTTTTTTATAAACTGTTTATTCAGCCTATTATAAATGAAAATAGCTTATAAAATACATTCAATGTTAATAACGATGGAAAATAGCAAATCGAAGTGCATTTCCTAGTTCTGCGATTATAATGTCTGAAGACCCATTTCCTTTTTTATAAACATTTTATTCAAACTAGTATAAACAGTAATAACTGTTAACATACAAAATCTAAATGCCTAAAAGATCGGTTGAGTATATCGGCAGCATTTCAAAGCGTTAGACTTTATTTTCCAACGTTTTAATATTCAGAAAGGTGCTGGAAACATTACCAACTTTTTACTCCACAATTTTTTGTCAAGATTAGGGCGCGTAAACAACCAATTTTCGCGTGCAATTCTTGATTGAATGTCAGAGTTTTAGCGTAACTTTATCGGCTTGAAATTATCTCGTGAGGTCTAATGGGAGTTTGCATGATTAAATGGTAATTATTCGGTAAAAATGTGTGGCGTTTAGTGACCGTTAGTAAATAATTATTCGGAGATCGTGAGGTGAGGTCTGGTGTGACGTAAGTTTTAGAAAAAAATTTTCTTTATTGTGCCACGTTTCGATCTTTATTGAGATCATCTTCAGCGCTCAAAGTGTTTGTTTTCCCTGTAGATGTGCCATTCTTGTGACTCTCAACACGACACACAATAAAGATCGAAACGTTCGCTCGATAAAGAAAATGTTTTTCTAAAACCTACTTCACACCAGACCGCATCTCAAGATCTCCGAATAATCATTTATTCGGTAATATGTCTCAGAATTACTTGTTTCCGAATAGGTCGTTGGACTTTACTGAAAATAAAAAATTGACCAGCTTTGGCTATTATAAAATTTAAATATTTACTATTTTGTACACACTTATTCTATCACTTGTAAAATTCTTTGGTGTAAACCGTCAAAATTTCTGAAGCTTAGCGGTTACTAGGTAAACATTTAATATATATTCAAATCTGCTAAAAGATATTATAAATTTGTAACGTACGCTAAAATTTTCCTTCCATGTGTTAATCCTTGTCCGTGTAGAATATATAAGAAACTGAAAACAATAGTTAACTAGCCAAAGAAAAAAACAAGGTGCGCGGTGCCGTCGTGGCGTATGGGTAATGCCTTCAGGGTATGATAATTCCGCCTACATGATTGTATTAACATGATTAACATGATATTAATATCTTGTTCGGGAGCCCATTAGACGGAACCGCCACTACACAGTAATTTGCTCATGATTTATGCCCGAGCGTTGCGTTGTGACACATGTTCACTCGCCCTTCGTGGATCACATCATCATTAGATCACCATGCGTATTACTTTTCGACTTCCAGCGAGCCCGACGGATTATTAGGACAAGAAAACGCGTTCACCTTATAAGCCATTTTTATCTGGATTTTTAGGACTTCATTGCAAACGGATGGAAACCCTTGACATTTGATGTGGCTTCCGAAATTGTGGCTGCCGGTAGGACAAGGGAAATTTAGCATAACCGCCTCACTTGTAAAATAATAGCTACAATTGTAATATTTTCCTGTCTAAACAGACGTCTATCGGTATTTTTTAAGATTGCCTCTGAACACACCTTGAAATTTTTTTCCAAATTAAAAAAAAGGCTGAAATATACAACGGTTTTGAAAAAAAAAACACGGAGCAATAGGCTAATCAGCCATTAACAAAAGATAAATAGGTATGAAATGAATATAATATAACAAACCGAAACTAACATATTGAAAGTGCATTGTCAAAATAAGCATTTTAATCCGGAAAAAATGGTGACTGTCTGCACTTTGGTTCATTTATTTTGCTTTCAAACCAAGCGGGAAACAGGAACTCAACTACGTAGTGCCAAGAATTTGACCCATCGCATTTTGCATAAAAATGTATTAGACAGAGCTCTACCACTTTATCATCCGATACCAAACGTATATCAACAAACTTCCTGGTAAAAGAAATACCAGGTTATGATTTCATGACCTAAACATGAAGGTCGACTTTACTTACCTTTTCAAAATCATTCTTAGAACCACGTACAAACCATTGCACAATCCTCCTATCGCCCTAAAAGTCTCCTTCACTTGATGGGAAAGATCCTTGAACTCTCTCTTCAATGTCTTTACCCCAACTTGATACCCTTACTTTAATCCCCGGTCATCAGTTCGGTTTCAGACAAGTACACTCTGCAGTTCAAAAATGTCACCGCGTTGTAGTCACATCCTTTGATGAGAAACACACCCAGCTTTCTTTCTCGACCTTGCACAAAAGTTCGATCAGGGCTGGCATGTTGTATTGTTGTATTTGCCCTGTAAAGACAAAGGCATCCTGCACACTACCTTGTACCTCATCCTGAAGTCTTCCACCTTGCCGAATTTAATTTTGGGTAGTGTACGGTCTGTCCTACTCAACCATCTGGCCTGCTATATTGTAGATCAAATCGTTCGTCATATGAAGTGTCGGATTGTGGATTAATCCATTAGGTCTGCTGAGAATAGGCCAATGAGCCCGCGAAACATTCTAATTGAAGAAAATCACGACTCCGAAACTTGGGTTTGTTTCTCTACCAAGCATGTAAATAAATTTCTCAGTTGTACTGGCCAGATACCATCAAATGTTTGTAGAACATGCTGCAATTGGTTTGTTTAGATTTTAGAATTTATATGGAAACTAATAGGGAAACTTCAGATGCGCACACTCC